GCGTGTGGGGGCCTCGCGCCCAGCAGGGAGCAGACAGGTACCACAAGCCCCGGGGCGGGGGCTCTGGGTTCAAATGCCAGCTCCTCCCTGCACGGGGGCGAGGAACCTACGTGCCCGCACCCGTCCGATGCCCTCACGACTTCCTACCCATGGGCTATCAAGATGGACCAGGAGCTCCGCGATGTTAGCGTGGGGTCCCCACTGCAGCCCCCAGGCTGCTTCTCAGCTCCAAGCCTTTGCTCACACAGGTGCCCCCCCAACCCCCGCCCCACTCCATCCCGTGGCTGCAGCAGAGAACATGCCAGGCCCAGGCCCGGGTGTTAAAGAAAGCACACAAATTAATAAACAGAGTTGGGAGCAAGGCCGTAAAGGACCAGAGATGGGTGAGGGGAGGCGAGGAGAAGAGGGAGATAAGCTGCAGATGAGACGAGCGGGGAGGGAAGGGCCACGTGGGCGTCTGGGGAAGACTGTGACAGAAGCAACAGCCCGTGCAAAGGCCCTGGAGCAGGCCTAGGTCTGACGTGTGGGAGCAACAGCGAGGAGGCCCGTGTGGCTGGAACAGAGGGAGTGAGCGGGAGAGAGGGAGGAGGGAGGGCAGGGAGGGGACGGGGCAGAAAAGTCAGGAGGTCAGAGGAGCATTTTGAGCAGAGCAGGGATGGGACCAGCCTGCTATTATAAAAGCTTCCCCTGGCTGCTGAGGTAGTGAACTGCTGAGTGGGAAGTAAACCAAGGAGGAGGCTGGGCAGGTGAAAACCGGGCCTGGGAGTCACAGGAGATGGTGGTGAGCCAGCAGGCCTGGCCCGGGACCTCCCCGCCCACCTGTGGGGCCCCCTCGCAGGTCGTGTGGTGCTCCCCATGGCTGGGGCCTCCTGCAGAGCTGCCCAGTGGGTCAGGCCACTGACCATGGAGCTGAGAGACGGGACACAGGATGCCCCGCGACCACTGGGGCTCCCACGGCACGAGACGGGCCTGAGGACCCCCCTGAGGAGCCTGCTGGGTACCGCGCTTGGCTGTGGGCAGCGCGCGGGCCATGCTGCCTCTCTGAGCCCCTGGGACGCTCAGAGAGGACCCGAGAACACAGACCCGGAAAAGCTCCCAGGACCTTCATGGACTCCGAAACCCTTGGGGCAGTCCAGTCGGTCCCCACTCTTCCCCAGGGCCTCTTTCTGGCCTCTGCCGCCCCTGTCCGGGCTGCTCTCCCTCCCTCCTTCTGCGCCACACCACGCTCCGGCCACAATGGCCTCCATTCACGAGCCCTCTCCCACTCGGGCCTCTGCCTGGAACACGCTGCCCTGCTCCCTCCTCTCTCTCCGACTTACTGCTATTCAGCCCTCGGGTCTGGAAGAAGTGCCGCCTCCTCCAGGAAGCCTTCCTGACCGCCACCTCCCTACAAACGAGCAGTAAGGGGCTCCTGGTCCCGACAGGCCCCCAAGGACCCTGCACTCCCCAGTCAGACCTTCCTCATTCAGAACTGTTTAACCTTCTCTATGTAACTTCCTGGCAAAAGGCACCAGGCCACACCACTACCTTGCCTGTCCCTTGGGCAATACCAGCCAAAGGGCTCAGAGGTGGATGAGAGACGTGTGCCCTGTGCCGTGGTGCCCACTCTAGGGGCACGTGGAGAGCTGGGGGTATCTGAGCTGTCATGACCTGGGGTGCTCACCCCCCGCACAGCAGCAGGGACGCTCCGAGTGTCCACACCGCGAGGCTGGCTGCAGGATGCCGGGGGCTCCAGAGCAGCACGGGGCCAGGTCAGCGCGCTTCCTTCCTTCCGCCTCAAGTCTCATGATGGCCCTTCCTCTCCCCACGCGCCCTGTTGGGGCAGTCTGGGCCTCCTCAGTTGGATCCTCACTGCTGACACTCTGAGTGGCCTGGCTGGGGGACCCTCAGTGAGCCCCAAACTGCGGGGCGTGAGCCGAGACTGTGCTCCTGCCCTCGAGTTCTGCCGCGCTCGGGAAGCAAGTGCCGGCCCCTCTCCGGGCTGGGGAGGGGAGGACAGCCGGGCTCCTCAGCAAGCAGGAGGCCTGGGGTCCAGAAGCATCGTGTGGTTCAGAATGGGCGCCTCCACACAGGAGTGCAGGGCACCGATGGGAGCGGAGTAGGAAGATGGCTGAGCACGCGGCCTGGAGCCCCTTCAGAGGATGCTGTGTGACCCTGGGCCAGTCTCCTGACCCTTCTGGGCGCCAGCCCCCGCCCCCCGCGGGAGTGGCTCATCTGTCTCCTGAGGTCCTCCCGCTCTGTCCGTGGCTCTATTCTTCCCTCCCCTCCCCCAGCCCGCACATTCCCCTCCACGTGATTTATGTCTCCTGTCCGCCTGGCGCGCTCTCCATCCCGGAGCCGGCTCTTCCGGGGAAACAGACCAGAGTGTGGGCCTCGTTTTGGTCAGCGGGTCAAGGCCGGGGCCGAGGGGGAAGGGGAGGCTGGCTGAGCCAGAGCCTCCTGAAGGGGCTCTGGGGCACCGCCAGCACCACAGGGCTCATTGTGGGCAGCACCCAGGGCGAGGGGCGGCGGGCAGGACCACTGGTCCTGGAACAGACGGGACCAGACTGCTTCAGGGCCAGGGTCTGTGCTCGATGAGGCCTCTCCCTAGGAACCCAGGCAGCCGCGGGGGGCCCCAAAGAAGGGGTACACCCTGATGGGGAGGGGGAGGGGGTGGGAGCAAAGGCAGGGCGGGGTCGGCCTCTTTGTTCTGAGCCGCCAGCAGAGTAATTCCTGGTGTAGACAGGGGAGCCGACTCTCCCGGAGATCAGGTGACCGGGGTCCCCGGGGGCTCAGGGCAAAGTGATGCATTGTGGGGTGGGAGCGACTGCACACTCACTCGCTGTGCAGGAAGGAAGCTCATGGTCCAGGCAGGGGAGGGGAGGCCGGCGGCCCCGAGTTCAAAGTCACCTCCAGCCCTGTCCCCCGCCCAGCGCCAAGCCTACGTCGCTGCCTCCCAGTGAAAACCCGGCCTCCCTGTTATGAAGATGATTCTCCAATCCCTGGGAATCTAGAACAGCTCGACCTTCGAAATCCGCCAGCTAGCCAGGCCAGCCCCCAAAGCCTGCTGGAGCACCCCTGGCAGGGGGTTCTGGCGTCTAGAGAGAGGCTGGGGAAGTAGACGCAGGGAAGGCAGCCGGCAGGAACCCAGGAAGGGCCCTGGGGCTCTGCTGTTGCCACGTCAGCCCCTCGGCAGGTGCCGCTGGGCCAGCCTGCTTCCCACCTGGGGGCGGCGAGCATCACCTCCTCGTGCCAGACAGAGGGCAGTGGAGGGCGAGGCCTCAGGCCCCAGCAACTCCTCCGGCCCCAGCAACTCCTCCCTCCGCCTCCTGCAGCCTCACCTGGAACCACAGCCCCTGCGGTCCCACCTCGCAAAGCCGGAGGCCGCAGAGAGGACGGAGGAGGGAGAGGCAGCACACTCCCTCCCCACATCCAGGGCAGGACGGAGGGGCCGCTGGGGTGGGGCTGAGCTGGAGTCTGCGTGCAGAGGGCCCGGCCCAGCAAGGCAGGCGCTGGGTCAGCAGGGCGGGAGGGAGCGGGCCACGCAGCCCGGGGCACGGCGGGTGGGGGCACGGAGGGCCGTGACCTCTGCCACGGCACGCGGGGACCAACCATGACCAGGGTCCATGTCGGCCGTGCTCAGGAAAGATGTGGAGGGTCGAACGCGAGGTGTGGACGACGGGCTGCAGGGGGGCAGGACCCACGGCACCTGCACAGGCTGGGGGCCCCCCGAGGTCCCCATCAAGAGTGCTAGGAGGGGCACCCCACAAGGACAGGGGCTTCGCCTGCTCCTTGCCATGTCTCCAGGGCGGGCACCCCCCAGGAGGCGCTCAGATGTATACTGTGTGAATGAGTGAGTGAACGCAACAATGAATGAACGGGGACAGAGAGAGAAGAGACAGTGGGAGGGCTCTCCAGGGACACTCCGGGACCTGGCAACACCCAAGGGTCAACGAGAGGCCCACCATGCCACGTGCTGTCTGAGCCCCAGAGGCCCAGGACCCCGCCCTTAGCTGGGGCCCACTCCCACCCCAGCCCTGTCACCAAGGCTGCGGGGAGGGGCCAGGGTCTGCCTACACACCGGTGCTACGCAGGCCTGGCGCACAGCAGGCGCTCAGTCAACACGGGGAGCACCCTCGGAGCCCTGGCCTCACCTCCTAAGCCCTGACGGCGCCCCAGCTCTCGGGAGCACGCCCAGCCATGCCCTGACTGGCCGGCCGTGCTGACCGGCCTGGAGCCGCTGCCCAGGTTACTCCTGCCGGCTGCCTGCTAGGAAACACGCCTCTGTGTGGAGGAGAGAAGCTCACCTCCAGCTCCCAGACCCTCTGCTGCAGGGAGTAAGGGCACGGAAGCCAGCCTCCCAGGTGGCCCCAGTGACCCCGCCTCCTGGTGGTCCGGCTGGTGAGGGCCCTGCCCACCGTGTACCAGAGCGGGTCTGCATGCCCAGTGGAATGCGGTGGAAGCAAAAGTATGACTTCCAAGCTTGCGTTATGAAAAGGACGACGGCTTCTAGCAGGGCTGTGCAAGCGCACGCGTGCACACACTCACCTTCTCTCTTTCCCCCGCCCCTGCCCTCGGGTCCCTGGTTCTGGGGGAAGCGAGCCAGCATGCCACGCTGTGAGGACACGCACGCAGTCTACAGAGGCCCACGTGGTGGGAACTGGGGTCTCCAGCCCACAGCCAGCAAGAACCCAGGCCTGCCAGCAACCACGTGCGTAAGCAACCCCCAGCCCCAGTCCAGCCTTCTGATGAGGCAGCCCTCGGCTGACAGCTTGACTGTAACCTCACGGGGACCCCACGTCAGAACCACCCAGCTGGGCCGCTCCCAGGTTCTGACTCTCGGAAACTGCGCACTAACACGTGTCAGTTGTTCTAAGTGGCTGGAATCAGGGGAATTTGTTACTCAGCACCAGGTCACTAACAGAAAGACCCAAAGGTGGCCCCCGTGCTTCCCAGAGGGACAAGCCCCCCACCACCGGGAGAACTTGAAGGCAGGTCTCCCTGGGGGAGGTGGGACTCACCCAGCTCGGTGGGCTTCAGCAACTCATCCAGCATGTTAAAGAAGGGCAGCTTCACCAGGCGCACTTCTGGCTTGAGAGTCTTGGCGGGCAAGCGTCCGAGTCCGTTCAAGTACTTCCCGTAGAGCACGGGGTAGTCAATGTTGGGGCCCGTGAGGGGAGTCCTGGGCACCGCGCCCGCCCGCTCGTAGGTCGGGTGCATGGCCAGGGGGTCCAGGGGCCGGTGGGGCTGGGGCACGGGCTCTGCGCTCTTCTTGGCGTAGCGTGTCTCGTAGAGCTCCTTGATCTTCTTGAAGAGCTCGGGGCTGCAGTCAAACTGGACCAGCTGGAGGGCCCGGGTGACAAGTTCGTGTTTAAGTCCACTCTTACTACGGCCGACGAAACCCAGGAGCATCTGCAGGTCGGAGACTCGGAAACTCATCACCATGTTCTGGAAAGAGCAACCACAGACATGCACGCTCAGGGGAGGCGTGGGCTGCCAAGGGGGCTCGGGGCCTCCCTGGAGCCTCTGGGCCCCAACCAGGGGACCTCGAAGTGAGACCCCGTCAGCTGCCGCCCGGCCCTGCCCCGGCCCCCTTCGTTCTGGCCGTGGAGCGGGAGCCCAGGAGGAGGTGGCTTCGGCACCGGTGCCACCTGCCCAGGCTTGGTCCCACCTCCACGCCTTTGCTTGGGCCCCCTCCCAGCTCAGCCGTGCTCCCCTCCTCCTCCTCAAACGTTCCTCAGCATTGCCAATGCAGCACAAGCTCTTCTGACTGCCCCCCACACACCGCTGCCTTCTATTTTAGGTTCTCTTTGCCCATCTTCCGCCTGAAAGCATCTCCAGGGCAGGAACTGGGGTAAACAGCCTCAGCCACTCCCTAGCTGAGAACACTGCTGGCCTCTCTGACCCTCGGGCTCTTCGTCAGGGAGGACAACAAGCTCCATCTCATCAGGATGCAGGAAGGACCAGATGAGGTACCATGTTTCCCTTTGGTGTAGAGGATGGTAGCCACAACTCACTGGATACCAATCACCTTTCGGGAACTGAGCTGGACACGCGCTGATGTACTTAACACTGAGCCCTAAGACACCCCTGCTACGCTGGTGTGAGCGCCCCATCACAGCCAAGATTCACCCAGGCCGACTCGGAAGCCAGGGGCGGCTCCGCTCTACTACACTGCCCCCGGCATGGACACAGAGCCGAGCACAGTCACCGGAATGTCCCCTGATCATTCTAGCACACTTTCTCCGCCTCGGCACTACTGATGCTGGCCCTGGGGCGCCGTCCTGGGCGCTGTGGAGGGCTGGGGAGCATCCCAGGCCCCCACCCCCTCGACGCCAGGAGCACCCCCAGTGTGACAACCACAAATGTCCCCCAGACATCAAGTGTCCCTGGGGGCAGGATCAGCCCTGATCAGAACCCCGCATCTGAGGCAAAAGCTGGCAGAATCCGGCAGCCGTGGGTGCTTTTAACCGAGCTGTGGCAAAGTGACGAATGCGGTCTGGCACTTAATACCCAGCAGAGTCCCCCCAACTAAATGAAACCAAACACAGGAGCGCAGCTGATCCAGTGTTTTCCTGGGGCCGGCTGGCGGTGGCCTGCCCTCCATGGGACTCTGGGACACCAAGGCAAGCGAGGGTTCCCCGATATGCTGCCCAGGCAAAGTGTCTTCCAGGGATGGGCCAGCAGGAGCTCGGGGCCACCCACGCTGAGCCCTGAGGCTGGCCTGGGATGAATGAAACGTGGTGGGAAAAACACCCTTCCGGGGGGCCGGGAAGAAAGCAGCGCAAGTGACAAGAGTGGCCGTGGAAAGCCGGCGGGCCCAGGGCAGGACACCACCCCAAGAAACCAATAAATTGCTTCAACTCAACTGGAGAAGGTCTGACAGTCTGAGGGGGGTGGGAACCCTGCCAGGTGTTTACGTAGCGGCCTCACTGCCAGAAGGTTCTGGTGTTTCCCGTTTCCTGGCTGTTTAAGGGTGAGGCGGGGAGTCTGAGGGCGGCCCTGGGGCTCAGGAGCGATGGGTTCCCAGACGAAGCCAGGCCCCCTTCGCTTTGGGCACCTCACCTGTGGGCACAGAGGGGGCTCCCTAAGACTCCTTCTACTGTGGGCCCCTGCTGGGGGGGCCGTCCAGATTCAGAGTGACAAAACCTTGAGGGGGAGCCTGGCCCGGCCGCAGGCTCTCCCTCCTCCTCCCGCAAGACAGAAGTGAGTGTCCACCGCGTGCCCAGCCCCACGAGGACCCGGGCCCAAGATGCAGGACAGAAGGCTGACGCTCCGAGAGGGAAGCGGCTGGCCCGGGGCCTCCCCGCGTGTCAGTGGCGGGGCTGGCGCCTGGACCCGGGGCCATCGGGCTCTTCAGGGCATTTCCTTCCACTGTCTGGGGGCCTGGGGGACCCTCACCCTCGGCACACCCCCCGCCCGAGGACCTAAGTGGTCTGCTGCCTCTCAGAGTCCAGGGCGCTTTGAAAACAGGCTTCACCTCCCTTGGCCTGACTTCCTACCTGGAGCGGAGAAAAAAGGCGTGCAGACGAGATGTTTCTTCTGGAAGAGGCCCAAGGCCTCGGAGGGCAGAGGCGCTGTCATGTGAGCAGACCGCCCGCCAGGGAGCGGAAGGCAGGTGGGCCCGGCCCTTCTGAGTCTGACCCCAATCTTCTGACATGAGCCCGCCCCTTGGAGCCCCTGACCTGCCGAGGCCCGGCCCCTTCCCCCAGGTTGGACACCCGGAGAACCGCCCGAGCATCCCGGGGCACACCCCTCAAGCTGCCATATGTTCACGACTCGGATTTCTCGGCAGCTGCCACCAGCGAGGAGCCTGCCCTTGACACTGGGGGGGTGGCGGCGCGAGGGGGACACCAACGTTCAGGAAGAAGCCCCGAGCGCTCCGCAGATCACTTCCTGCCGTGGCTTCACCCTGACCGGCCTGCCACTCAGATCTGTGTTTATAAACAGCGCCAGCCCCAACGGCTTCCCGAGTCTCAGCTCCGGGCCTGTCTGGAGCCGCGTGGAGACACCTCTGCCTGGATACGGCAGCCGCGCCTCGCTTCCCCTCTCCCCCGCCCCACCACGGGCTCCTCAGAGCGTCTGGGGAAAGTTAAGGCCCCTCTCCCCAGGAAATCGGAGATCTGTGCAAAATGCTACCCACTAGCTCGGGGAATCCACAGACCACCCCTTCCCTCTCAACCCCCCTTGGGGGCCTGGGATGAAGAGTCTCAGGTTTCCAGTTTATCGACAAGTTATCAACAACTCCCCTCACACCTGCCCGTTTTGCACCCCAAAAATAAAATCTCCAGCTCTTAACGAGAGGTTGGGAAAGCCCCTAAAAGAGGGAGACGTGTCAATTACATGGAAGGCCCTCCACAGTGAGGGCGAGGCTGATGGAGAAGGCTCTTTAGCACCAGAGAAAGTTGTGTTGAAGTCCCCAAGATCCCCCCAAACAGAGGCTTGAAAAAAGCGTCAACTTGATTTAATTGGGGTGGGGAGCCCCAGCCACCAGAGGGTCAAGTAGAGTTCATCAGATCATGTTTCAAGGCCCTGGATGGTAAAAAAGAGTGCAGACCCTACCCTATGGCTGGGGTGGGGGCGGGGCCCAGAGTCACGGGCCACAGCCCCACAAGGGGGTTAAATTTCAGGCAGGGGACTCCGGGCCCTCGGGCTGCCACCTTGGGCTTACAGAGTTCAGACCTCCACACCTCCACGGCAAGTCTCAATTTCTCAAAACCTTGGAGAGGGGCAGAAGGGTGTGTGGGGTAGGTATTGGAGGGGCGGGCGCTGTGGGGTCAAGGGAGGGTAACACCTATAATCACAGAAGCTTGAGAGCTGCATCTCAGATCCCAGCAGGAGAGAGGACAGATGTAAAGAAAGGGAGGAGTGAGGAAAAGAAAACGATGACAGGTCAGGACCTCGGGGAGGGGAGACCAGAAGGGGGAGAAGGGGGGTGCCTCAGTCCTGCGAAGGTCCAGCCCCCCACCTCCCTGGGGTCAGCGGCCTTGAGTAAACTTCTCAGGAAGTTAGGGAAGAACGCTAGTCTAGTCCAGGGCCAGGGTTCTGGAGCCTCCCCTCGGGGGAGGCACCTGGGAGAAGGCACATCTCCGGGACAAGGATGCTCCCAGCTCAGTCCCAGGAGGTTTAGAGGGGCCGCAAGCTAGGAGAGGGGACGTGGAACCTGCCCCCCAAGTATGGGAGAAGTATGGGGAGAGAAACACCAGAACCGACCTGAAAAAAAAGAGACCTCCCCTGGAACCCGCTGGGGACCCTCCAAGAATCAACACAAGAGAATAGCAGAAAGGCGGGGTGGGGGGGGCGGCTCAGAAGCCAGAAATGGGGGCATAAGGGGCTCGAAAGCAGGGTCTGGGGGCTGCCTGGGGAGAGAATCTGATCTGAGAACACACTCGCCAGAGAGTAGACTACAGAAGCATCCAGTCTGGGGTCTGATCCCGCTGTGCGGGGCTCAGGGCCCCCAGGAACAGAGTCCCAAGCCTTGTAGATGCTGTCCCGAGGGGAAAGAGGGAAGAGGAACGCAGAGCCCAGGACCCAAGACCGAGAGGAGGGAGTTAGAAAGAGCTTCTGCCCGAGAACAGCGGTCAGGGGTCCACCCCAGGGAGGTGGGCAGGCTCCGTGAACACCGCGCCCACTCCCGGGGTGAGAGGGAGGGTGTCAGGAGGGGGGCGGGGCTCTGAGACCCACGCGGAAGCTGCCCAGGGGCTCCAGACCCCAACTTGGGTCCAGACCCCGAGAGGACACACCGTGTTGGGGGGCGGCTCAGGACCCTGGCTCATCACCCCGGACGGGGAAGCGGGGGCAGGAGGGTCAGGGGACCCTTCTGAGCAGGGAGTCGCCAACCCCAGCCCGGCCTGCTGGGCGGGGAGGCTGAGCCCCACATGCCGCCCTCCGTGCCCCGGGGGGCGGGGAGGCCAGGACACTCCCCCCGGAGGAAGAGCGGGGACCCCGGCTCGGGGCGAGCAGCGCGGCCCGTCACGCTGGCCGCGGGGACTGTGCCTCCAAGTGGGAGGCGCGGCCCTGTCCCCGGGTTTGGGGACCCCCGGACCGTAACCGCTCGGGCCGGTGGGGGGACCCCGCCCAGAGCCCGGGGGCCGACCCGGGCGCCAGGACTGG